CGTTGTTCGTTTGTAAGACGATCCATGGTTAAATTGTTAACAGTGAAACAAAACATGAAACGTGCGCGATCTGTTTAAACCAGGGTTGCCAAAACATAATAACTAAAACATTATTAGGACATTATTATTGAATTTAACAATAACAAAATTGCAACATCATAATTCTTCTCTCTCTCCTTCCGATATAAGACTATAAAATTTCGTTCAGTGCACAATATGAAGTAGGTATATTTATTGAAAGTTAAATAGTAAATGTACGTATGAATGTCGATTCCATGACCAAGGTCATAAAGCAACATGGTGTTGCTTGTTGCCACAATTATGGTCGAAAAAAAACTCACAATTTTAACAAAAACACAAAGCAATTGTTTTTTTTATTAGAAATAATAAAAACAAATGCTTTAACAATGTCATGTTCTTTGAACTTTTCGAAGCAGGTTTTATTTTGGTGTGGCACTCTGCTGTAGAAATCCCACTAAAGTTCATTAAACTATTTCTTAGACATTTGAATATTTTAATGGCTGTAAGGTAACCTGCAGAAAAAGTGAATGTCCATTGTTAATGATTTGAAATAATTAGCCAACAAAAATTATTGTTGGCCACAGACGAAATTAAAGCGCTATGACTGGCAGACCAATTTGCTGTCTAGCTTTGCGTTACTCAACGGAAGTTAGCGGGGAGTGGGGATAAGTGAATGCACTCCACCAGACATTGGCTAAGATGTGGCGGCGCTGACATTGATGAAAGAGCTGTTATATTTTCTTTGAGGGGGGAAACCATAGAAAAGTGAATGAGTAAAAGTGTTACATATATGGGTGTGTATGTGTGAATGCCTAAGTGGCAAGACCCAACCCAACATACCAAAAATACAATACAGCTTGAGAATAATATTATGAAAATAGTTTATCATAAGAATTTTTCAACAATGCTAGAGAAACACTTTTTTGCACAAACTTTTCTCAAATCTGTCCTTTGTTGTCAAATTTGTTTTGATTTTTTTTTTTTTTTGAGAAAATTGTCGAAAAAATATTTTCTTTGGTTAAAATTTAAATCACGCGAATTTAGGACCATTTCCAGACGAAACTCTTAGGTAATGATGAATAATAATTCTGTGAATCTGTAGTATATATTATTTCAATCTCATTTCAGAACAGAGGCGTCAAAAAAGTTGCAAGAATTCAAGAGAAGTGAAGAATTAGTGGAGGAGATACAGAAGCTCAAATAAGGGGAAAGAAAGCATCTAGGTACCAAGGCAACAGGAGGCAGTGAGAGCTGGGATGGCCATCAATGAATAAAATGTGTAAAATAATTAAAAAAAAGAGAAAAAATAACTATTTTATACCATTGAAAAAATAAGTTTGATATAATATTACTTTCGTAAGCTTATTCTGAATTTACAAGATAAAGCTTATGAATAAGGGTTCCGTTTCGATTATTCTATAATTATTAAACAAGCATTTCTCAATACATTCTCAAGATTTTCTCAAGCTTAAGGCTTATGTTTGTAAGCTTATTAAATTATTATTCTCAAGTCAATTTGGTATGTTGGGAAGGTTATACTTACAAACACATTTAAATTCAAATGATGTAGGGTCTTTAATGAGAAAGTAAGAATGGAGGCACAACTTCAGTAAAGCAAATCTTTGAAAATATTTGTATTATTGACGTTAATACATTTTAAGGATTTTGCTGCGGGGGTTATAAGATATCAAAAAAAAAAAAAAGCAAATAAAAAATTAAAAAATATCAAATGCAAATATGAATGACCCGCTATTATTTAATAAATAACCATATTAATTGTTTGACCCTCTATGGAGTAGTTTCCGAAGGAATGGTTAGTATCGGACCTAAATAAATATTATATAAATATTGTGACGTGCCAGGTTTGGACTATATGGTTACTTCCTTCACTTTTTATGAGATATGTGATCAGTTTCAGAAAATGTTAAAATGTGAGTGAGATACCAGATATAGTCGGGCGAAGTATTCCATTTGTATACTTCATTTAATATTTTTATGGACCGATATATTTGATCTTCACGGCAGATCTTGTGTTAGTATAAATAATGAAATATGTTTTTTATTATTGTTTTGGCTATTCAAAATTCTGACCCTTTGTAAGGGAAGTACCAGAAGGAGTGGACCGATATGTTCCATCTTCACACCAGACCTTGGGAGAAGCCGATATCGCTTATCCTTTCTGTGCAATAAAATATTGTTTCGAAAATTTGTGGTCGAGGTATCAGAAGAAGTGGACTGATATTGCCCATCTTCGAACTAGATCTAAGTTCGGACCAACCCGAATACTCCCTTCGAAAGTTATCGTGAGCACCAGTCAGTCAGACAATCGGACGGACATCACTATATCGACTCCAAATGCCCTGAAACGTATTTTGTCTAAAGAGACCTAGGGTCCATGACTGAGGGTATAAAAATCTAAGACCATTGGTCCGCTACTTCGTTCACCCAATACCGAATTTAGTATTATTTATTACTATTCGTACAATTATAGTACTTTTAATAATCTAAATATAAAATTTCAGGATTTCAGCACATTAATTTCCTACATTACCAAATTTTTTACAATTATGGTACGCATATCCACCAAAAGTGACATTCATATCAAATTTCAGGATGCCAGTCCTATCCATTTACCCAATTCCAAATTTAGCACTATTCTGTACTTTTCGCACAAATATAGTACACATTTTCAAAATAGCCTCCATAACTAAATTCCAGATACTAACAGAGACCTCAATATGAAATTTGAGGATTCCAGCCCTATCCCTTCAGCCAATACCAAATTTAGTACCATTTAGTTCTTTTCGTACAAATATAGTACACATTTCCAAACCCCTCTCTTTATCTCAATTCCAGATACCAATAGAGACCTCAAAAACAAATTTGAGGATTCCAGCTCCACCCCTTCACCCAATACCAAATTTAGTACCATTTACTTCTTTTCGTACAAATATAGCACACATCTTAATATCAGAGACCTCAACATCAAATTTCAGGATTTCAGCTATATTTTTTCACGCAATACCAAATATAGTACCATTTAGTGTATTTCGTACAATCATAGTACACATATCCGAAACCACATCCATATGTCCAGGCTACACATGAAAAGCATTTTAGAAATGAAGTACCATTTTAGACCTTTTTATAACCTTAAAGTTCGAATTTGCAAAGCCCCTTTGGGGCCTCAATCTTCCTCTCCATCAGTGAGTTTGATATTTGAAGGTGGTTTTGAAAATGTGTGCTAAGTGTGCGATCTTTACTAAATGGTACTAAATTTGGTGCGGTTTCGTTTAGGGTATACCTTTTTAGTACAATTTTCCAAAAACTCAGCTTTAACACAATTTGAAGATTCTAGCCAAGGTAGATCTAACAGGTAACCGCATCGGCGAATTGCTACAACAAAGCAACTTTTGTGGTCCCCTCAAATGTCAAAATTGACATCTAAGGCGAAAAACATAGATTCGCCATGACATTTAAAGGTTGCGGCAAATTTGTTTCAACCAATCAGAAACGAGGTGTTTGTTTACATTTTATTTTGTGTGCTTTCGTCGTAAACGAACTTCGCAATAAAGTTTTTATTGTAAAACAAATAAGAGTAAAATAAGTATTAATTGTAGTATTGCGATATTTTTTAAGCCAATAAACTTATAATGACTATATTTTACTGGTTTAAACCGAAAGTTTTCGGGAACTGCAAATGACAAGAGTCGAATTCTTGCATTACTTCCCGTGATGTGCTTTGGGAATCTTAGATGTTGAGGCTAACCTAATTCTTAAAGCTGCGCTCCATTCTAACCTCCTTCCTTCATTTTCTTTTAATTTTTTTACTGGTTTCACTCTTAACTTGCTCTTAAATTATTTGAAATATTATAAAAAGGTACTTTTGGGGAAGACAACATAAACAAATTTGTTGTTGCATTCATTTAGGGCGAATTCTTCATTACAACAATTTGTTTTGACATTTAATGGTGCCGTCAGCTGGGCTGATGCGATTACCTAGTACATCTACCTTGATTCTAGCTTTTCAACCCAACTTCAGTTGTTGATATAAACACAGTACTTTTTTGTACTGTACATTTTTGTCTGCGACCCCTTTGAAAGCAACGCCCATGCTACCAGCTTTTTTGCATGCATATTTCCAAGTCGAACAGTGTGGCTTGTTTGTTCGGGATACCGTAGTATTTTGTTGTTGCAAAATGGTCAGGCTTATCCCTTTATTGTTGTTTTTTATAAAAACAACGTTTGTTTATTAGTGGAGAACGATGGTAATGTTTACCAGGGGGTAAGGCAGGGAATACCTAGGTTTCGGAAAGAGCCACCAATCCTCATCAGTTCCCTTGTTTTTGTCCGGGATATTCTCCCCAGAAGTTATTTTAAAAATAACTTCTATGACAAAAAACATTTTTTACCCAAGTGACGAGATCGTAAGCTCAATAGAAGAGGAACCAAAGAATTATATAAAACTAAAATTCTTTTGGAAAGTCTTCTAAATCTTACAACCGCACTTATAAACATTTTCATCTTTCTCCTCTTTACCCTCTTTACTTTTCATCTTTCTCCTCTTTACTAACTTAAGTTCTATTTTGTTTGAGCATTGAAAATCACTTTTTAGTCTACATTTTTTTAAATAGCTTCAAATTCCTGTAGTACACTTTGTTTTAAATATCAATGAAAGTGGCCTACGGCTGATAACGTTGCCATAATAAGTTTCATTCATTGTTGAAATCGAATAAGCCGTCTATTTCGAAACTTAAAAATATAATATTTATTTTGGGTTTTGTCACGTTTTTTGATAAGAACAATTTAATAATTGATGAGATTTTCGTACGAAATACACACACGGGCACGATGACAATGCAAGTACTTCTATTTATACCGTTTGGGACTGAGTATGTGCGGGTGTGGGAGTATGTGCGCTTTAATGAATGATTACTGTTTATCTAAAATGCATTTTTCTTTAATGTTTTCTTTTTTACATTTCTCTTGGCACGACACAGTAAACAAAATGTTAAGAACGAGCGTCTGATAATGGACTGAAAATATGTCACAAAATTGTCAAGCAACCCCGTAAGATGTCAGAAAACATATGGCTGCGGTAAGGGTTGCCAATAGAGGCGAAGACTTCAATATGTGATGTGAATGATTAGAACTCACAATAACATTATTGTTAGCAGAGTAACAAACCGTGGCGTGTTGCCAACCAACAAAACATCAACGTGAGTGTTCTGTAACAACCCAGCGAACATAACGAACAAATTTTAGTTCTTTACCTGACGAAAATAAGAAAATCTTAATTTTTATGTGTCGGAATCTGTGGGTCCATTCTAAAAAATACACGATTTTGCAAAAAAGAGTCCTTTAGTCGGAAACATTCAGACAAACATTGTAAGGAACTGTATGTCTGCAATACCTTGTTTTTGTGACATGCATGGGTATGGAAGGAAGCGTCCATAGAAGCACTATTAACATAGTAAGAAGAGTTCATTAAAAAAATCGTCTAGACATACACAAATACGACAAGAAGGGGGAAATACAAATACTAAAAAATATATCATCCGTACGACAATAACTAACAAGAGTAGAATCTGCTCGATTTCGAATGAATTTTGCTCCCACTTAAAGACGAGGAAAACATACTGACTTCTATTCGAGCTACATCGAAAAATTAAGTTTGCTCGATTTTTCAACTCTCAGGACCGTTCTCGCCCGAATTCGAGTGATTTTCACACTTTTTATTCTTGTTGATGGTGTTGCTGCTTTTGTACACAAATCACCAACCCACATGATCATCCCCTCTCCCACAGTTTACGGCAACATCAAACCTGGTATATATTCTTGATCATCATAAATTCGAAGACCATTTAGCCCTGTTTGTTCGTTCATCTGTCCGTCTGTTGTAATCACGCTAGGTTGAAAACGAATTAAGAGAGGAAGCTAACATTTTGCAGAGATTAGTCTTTTGTCGGCAGACAGGTTCGGAGATGGGCAATATCGGTCGCCGATATCGTTTAGCCCCCATATAACAGTACCTCCGATATTCGGTATTTTGATGATTTTAGCGAAATTGTTAACCGGAATTGTTTCAAATTTCGTATTTAGAGTTTGAAGCTCGTAATGAGTGCTACAACCAATGACGGAAAATTGTCTGTAGCGGTCCACGGTACCTCCCTTTATTCAGTATTTCAGTATTATACGAATATCATATTTGAAGTTCCGCGTCGGTACTACAGCCTATGACAAAAACTTACTTATGGAGGTCCACGCTTTCGTACAGCCCCCATATAATGGTTTTCATTTAAGTGGTATTTATCGACGTTTTTTTTTTAATTTTTCAAGATTCTTGAAAATGGTGAAGGTGATGGAATTCAAGCGTGATAGTGTGATTTCTTTAAATTTGCCTGGAAAACCACAAGCGGCTATCGTTAGAGCACTCCTGCATTTAAAAGTGAATAAATCTTTTGTGTCTCGTACCATCGCCCCTTACTGTGATACTGGTAGCGTAGCCCGACGGCAAGGAAGTGGACCGCAACCTGAATGAAACTAGACTCAAAAGAGCTAAAGAGTTGCTTCGCTTGGTCGAAAGTGGTGAACAGCCGAATTTTGTTTTCTACGCTGAGAGAACATTCGTCGTCCAGCAGTTTGTAAACAAACAAAATGATCGTGTTTACTTGCCAAAGATTTGAGCTGAAAATGTCACCTTCGGTTGGCCACCAGAACAATGGTCGCTCTCCGCTCGTATTAATCGACCGTGGCATCAGAATAAATTCCAAATATTATCGCGAAAATATACTGGAGGGTGTATTAAAGCCTTGGGCACGCAAACATTTTGGCCGCATACCTTGGACATTCCAACAGGACTTAGCACCATCGCACTAAGCACGCGCCACCCAAGAATGGTTACAAAATGAGGTTCTTCGCTTCATTTCCAGCGCACTATTGCCACCAAAATCTTCAGATACCAATCCGTTGCGCTATTGTGTCTGGAGTATTTTGGAAAGCAAGGTTCGCACTAAAAAATACCAAAGTGTCGATCACCTCAAGCAAGCGCTTCGCTGGGAATGGGCCAAAATACCGCAGAGCAACGGCGTTTGACTTTGTTGAAGTTTTTTTTTATCTCATCCTGTTTAGCAAATATTTATGAAAAATAATTTTATAGATTATTTGGGTTGCTACCATCCTGTTTAAGAGGAATTTTTAGATGTGTTTTGAAAGAATGACCAAAAAGACTGCTGTTTTGGCCTGCTTGAAGGTTAAAATGTTCGACCAACATTTTTTTCGTATTTTATAGATTCCAAGGAATCTTAATCGGAAAATTTCCAAAAATGTGGATGTTGGAGAAACTTGCCTCCTCTATTTAGGTTACTTTAAGATGTTAACTTTAAAAACGCCGTTACACGTGCCTCATATTTTAAGTCTACTTTTATAATCTTCAGGATTTTCCCGGTAATTGTTGGAAAAATCTGAATTTTGTCGCACAGTGTTATGGTGAAATATTTTGGTAAAATTCTAAAAAAAAAATTGAATAAACTTTTATTAGTCACCCAGTTCCTTCAAAATAAATTATCAATTGAAGTTTTTTTACCAAAAGAAAAAAATGCATCGTTGGTTTTTTGCCAATGAGGAGCAAATTTGCAGGCCACCGCCTCCCACCACACCTTCAGTCTCAGCAGTCACTGAGCCCAGTGTATCCTCGTTAAATGAAATTCCCGATACAGAATGGAAATTTACCGTAAAATACAAAAGAAAATTGTGTTCCAATGAAGTTTTGGCCGTAACGGGTAATATACAAATATTGGGTAAATGGCAGGTCCAGCAATGTGTGCCAATGACGAAAATGGAAGGGAGTCCCTCTCTATGGACGGTGACTCTAATGTTGCCACGTAAATGTGATATATGTTACAGATATTTGATATGTGCCATCAATGGTGACAATGGGCGTAAATTGGTGCGGTTTTGGGAGACCCATAAGAAGGGGCGCCTCATACGTACAGAAGATGTACAGGAATTGGAATGCCCGTCATATGAAACCTTTGGGGTACTCAAGGGTATTACTGACTATAATGCGCAACGAGGTTGGCTGTCTAGCTCGGATATTAGAATATTGCAATTCCGTTTCGACAAGGCTCCATTTGTTTTGAAAATGGAAAAGGATAAGTTGGCAGAGGTATCGATACATGTAAAGCTTAGTCTTTTGAGGGTGCGATCCAAAGAGGAAGGAAAGGATGAACAAAATTCCAATATGAGTTGCAATATTTCCAAAGAGACTGGTATGGAAAATTGTGATTTTCAACAAAATCTTCCCAAAATGTTGGCATTTTGTGAAGTGGCCAATGTGGGTCGGGAAGATGGCTCCACCCTTCGCTATCAATCAAAATATGGTACACGCTGTGGTCCCAATGATATTCTGTTGTTCCACATGACCCTGGATGACATGACAAATACTGCCTATTTGATTGATTTATATACCTACCCTTCGAAGCCGGCCGAGGATATACCACCCTATCATTTTGGCTATCAACATATTCTGCCACAGCAATTAAATGGATCTGAAGGTACTTTAAATCTCCCCATAATGTGTGCCACCCGACATCGTCCAATTGGTAACATGACAGTGGAATATTTGCTGATTAAGCCCCTAAATTCGGTGGATTTTAATCTGGAGAAACCCTTTGAATGGCAATGGAAGAAAAAACCCAGCCTCGATATTGGTCATCGGGGTTGTGGCAAAAGTTTTTGGCATCAAAAAGATGTTCTTCGTGAAAATACCCTCAAATCTTTTGGGAAGGCTTTTGATCATGGCGCGGATTTCGTGGAACTTGATGTACATCTTACTCAGGATAAGGTGCCAATTGTATATCATGATTTCCAGTTGTATGTGTCACGCCAGGAGGATCTAAGTTCGGTCGAGTTTGACATTTTTAAACTAAATTTGGAGGCGGATGATATCAATGGCCTTAGGCGTTATGCGAAACCTTTAAAATCGGGTCTGATTGCAATATCTCTAAATAAATTCAAACTTGAGCACTTGGAAGATGTAAAAATTTACAATGGCACTTCAAAGGATATACCTTCCAGTTCATCGTTTATATCCTGTCCCAAGGATAATACCTTGAACTTACCCTTCCCTAGCCTGGAAAAGGTTCTCAAAAAACTGCCAATAAAACTGGGATTCCTACTAGATATCAAATGGCCTCAACAGCTGCAAAACGGTAAACATTACGAGGAGAATTTCCAACCCGACATGGATAAAAACGAATATGTCGATAATATTTTGAATACCGTGCTACGTAAATCTGGCAATCGTCGGATAATATTTTCCTCATTTGATGCTGATATTTGCTCCATGATTCGATTCAAACAAAATCTTTATCCTACCATGTTTATTATTAAGAATTCTGAAACCGATTTGAAATATTTGGATCCTCGTGGTGAGTTATTGCCCACAGCTTCATATTTTGCTAGGGCAATTGAACTATACGGCGTCGTTGCGGAATCAGATGATATTTTAAGGGCTTCGGGAGAAATCTCAAATTTTCATAAACGTAATATCCATCTGTTTGCCTGGGGTGATGTAGCACGCTCGGAACAGTGTCGTCGATCATTGAAAGCTGCTGATGTGGATGGTATCATTTTTGATCGCATTAACCATGTTACGAATGTGGAGGACCTTAAACAGAATATTTTCTTAATAGAATTGAAGGAGAATACCAGGAAAATGTCGTTAGGTAAATAATTATTAAATCTAATTTGGATATTTACAAAAACGATTTTGATCTGATTTATTTTTTTTTATTGTGGGAATGCTTGAAAGATGCGATTTTTATACCAAGTTTACTCCCCACTTTTCTGTTTAATGTGGGAGTGCTCGCGAATTACTCCTGTTAGAAAAAATTTTTTAGCGGATCCAAAATGCTCGAACTAGAGAAAGAGTTTACTCTAAGTGTGAAATAGAGTGGAAAATTTGTTTTGTTTGCTAATTTGTGTGTGTGTGCTGTAGGTTGGGAAAGATCGTCAAAGAGAGAATAACTGAAGTAAAGGCATTAGCATTTTGTGTACATAGATACAATAAACATACACTCATTCTTGCATTACCACACAAAACAAACATGAAAATCTTGTACATCCCCCAAAAAGATCAAGATTTTGGTCCCTTATTGAGGAAGGTACAAAATTTTCAATGCTTGATAAAAATACTACCAATGTCCAAGTATAAACTACCGTTCGAAGTGTGCATATTACGCATGTGAGGGACTTAAAACCCCAAATCGGATGAAACATATATATGGGAGCTATAGCTATATCTGAACCGATTTTCTTCGAATTCGATGTATTTGCTTCTAGACTGTATTCGGTCAGATGTACGAAAATTCAGGACTTTTGGACTGATATTGACCTTTTGGTGCACAAATAACCCGAAATTGGTTGCAGATATTTGTGGGAGCTATATTCAAATCTGAACCGATCTTGATAAAATTTGGCATAGGTATTTCTGGGCTGTATCATATATCTGGTAACAAATGCCATTGTTGTGGAGTGTATATTACGAATGTGAGAGACTTAAACACCAAATCGGACGAAACATACAGGGTGAGATTAAACAAGTAAAAAAGCTGTAAGTTCGGCCGCGCCGACCTTTAAATGCCCTCCACCATTTGGTACAAATTTGGCAATTTTCAAAAAAATAAAATCCGTTAAAAATTCTGTTAAAATCTTAAAAAATACCGAATGTAGCGGTATATTAGGGCCTATACGACGACGTGGACCTGCATAGACAACTTTTGTCACAAGCTATTACAATATTCAAATGCGAAACTTGAAGAAAAAACAAATTTTTAATGTAGCTAAAATCATCAAAATAACAAATATAGGGAGGTACCATGGGGGTTATAAAACGTGCACCTGTACAGACAATTTTCGGGCATCGGGTATGATATCCATTACGAACTTCAAATACAAAATTTAAAACAATTCCGGTAAATAATTTCGCTAAAATCATCAAAATACCGAATATCGGGAGGAACGATTATAAGGGAGCTATACGAAGACGTGGAGTCACATGGCCTATTTTCTGTTTTATGCTGTAGCATCTGTTACGAACTTCAAATACTAAATTTGAAACAATTCCGGTGAATAATGTCGCTACAATCATCAAAATACCGCATATCGGGAGGTACCGTTATATGGGGGCTATACATAGACGTGGACCTACATGGCCCATTTTAAATATCAAAAGTCCTGCAGACATAACACACATTTAAGTAAAATTTTATCAACCTTCTTCATTTTTTTCGGAAGCAAGAATGATTTCCACAGACGAATAGACGGACGGACTTTGCTAAATCGACATAGAATTTTATGCTGATCAAGAATATATATACTTTGTGGAGTCTAAAAGGTATATTTCCAGCTGTTACAAACGGAATGGCACACTTAATATACCCTCCATACTATGGTGGAGGGTATAAAAACACTACAAAAAAATTGTTGCTCTGCGGTATTTTGGCCCATTCCCGGCGAAGCACTTGCTTGAAGTGATCGACACTTTGGTATTTTTTAGTGCCAACCTTGCTTTCCAAAATACTCCTGACGCAATGGTCCAACGGATTGGTATCCGGAGATTTTGGTGGCCATTGTGCGCTGGAAATGAAGCGAGGAGCCTCATTTTGTAACCATTCTTGGGTGGCGCGTATCGAGTGCGATGGTGCTGAGTCCTGGTGGAATGCCCAAGGTCTGCGGGCAAAATGTTTGCGTGTCCAAGGCTTTAATACACCCTCCAGAATATATTCGCGATAATATTTGGCATTTATTCTGATGCCACGGACGATTAATACGAGCGGAGAGCAACCATCGGCTGTTATGGCGGCCCACACCATCACCATGGCCGGTGCTTGAGTTCTGGTGGCTAACCGAAGGTGCACATTTCCAACTGAACTCTTTGGCAAGTAAGCACGATCATTTTGTTTGTTTACAAACTGCTGGACAACGAATGTTTTCTCATCGGAGAAAACCAAATTCGGCTGTTCACCACTTTCGGCCAATTTAGCTCTTTTGAGTCTATTTTCTTTTTGTTGCGGTGTAAGTTCTTGCATTTTTTGGAATTTCAATGACTTTACCGTGAGCAATATTTGCCGAATGGAATATTGCGATATGTTCAGCTCACGAGCCATTTTTCGGCCACTGCGACCCTGGTTTCGATCAAGTCGCTTCTTCACTTTTCGAACCATTTCTGCTGATGTTGCTGTTTTCATTCGTCCACTTCCTTGACGTCAGGCTACGCTACCAGCATCACGGTAACGGTAGCGATGATACGAGACACAAAAGATTTATTCACATTAAAATGCTGGAGTGCTATAACGATAGCCACTTGTGGTTTTCCGGCCAAATATAAAGAAATCACAATTTCTCGCTTGAATTCCACCACGAAACACTTTTTTTCTGGAAAATTCTCACCAAAATGCTAATGAGCTCTCACTGGAATAATTTTTACAGCTGTCGGACGAGTGGTTTAGCAGTCTGAAGTTGGTTGTAGTTTTTTCTTCTCAGCCTGTATATCAAAACCCCATGAGAGTTTCTTAGCCAAACTTTTTTTAGGCCTTTATGTAGGCTTGGTGGCATACAAAGATACTCCAGTATTTTCACAATTAAGGTAGAGTTTGGAATTTTTGTTTTTATTTCTATTTAATTTCGCCAAATTTTGGTAATTCAAGTTCTTTTTAGCTAGAAACTATTTGCGAATAAATTTTTAACATTGGTCTACGTTTCGGTACAGCTCTTACATAAAAATATTTCTTGATGTACGTTATGGCGAGGGCCTTGACCATATTTTTCATTTGGCTGAAAATTTTTATTTAAGGTTCTTTGGAGATAGAAGAAAGTACATAAAAGCATAAAAAAGGTTTGGGGACTTTATCTACAAATCGAGTACTAACAAATTCCTTTGGAAATCTCCACAGCGCAGATTGGCTATTTAAACGTGAAATTATGACAAAATTTGACTGAAAATTCGGAAGAGATGCTGAATCTGCGGAAAGTAAAAAAAAAGGTTTATAGAAAATAAACCAAAAGTGATGATAGTTTTGTAAGGCACATTTTAGGTTAACAAATTTCTTTTGTTCAGAGATTTGCCTTGAAATTTGATCTAGAATAATTCCTCCTTCCCCACTTTCCCGAAAACATGAAGTTTTAAGCGAAAATTAAAATTATGCTTTGTAGGAGAATTTGGCATAAATTCACATAAGGTATAGCTTTAACCCTAAAATGAACGGTTTCCAAGGAACTTTAAATCGAAAATTTCAAAAAAAGTGGAAGTCGGCCTTTAAGACTTTCTTTACTGGTTCTATTAGTTAAACGAATTTTATCTACCATTTTGGTTGTGCCATGCCAGAACCTTTAAAATACTGCATAGATATTCCATAACCTGAATCTACATTGTCAATTTTTTTTATACCCTACACCACAAGGTGGTCAGGGTATTATGTCTTTGTGCATTTGTTTGTAACAGGCAAAAGGGAACAAAATAGACCCAAAGTTCCTTTTGATGATCTGCATAGAATCACATTCTGTGTCCGTCTGCCCATGTATTTTTGTGGACAAAGTACAGTTCGCATTTATTATGAAAATTATGAAATTTTGCACAAATCATTTGTTTGGTCCAAGGATCCAAGATATAGCTCCCATATATATCTTCGTCCGATTTGCATTTTATTGTGCACCAAACGTGTAATATCAGCCCGAATAGTATGGAATTTTGAACATACAACCAAATTAGGCCTGAAAATAAGTATGCCAAATTTGATCGAAATCGGTTCATATATAGCTCCAACATATATATTGTTCATCCGATTTGTTATTTTAGTCCTCCGCAGCCGTAATATACACTTTGTAACAACAATATTTGGGGAAATATATCAAATACAGCTCAGAAATACATTTGCTAAATTTTATCGAGATCGGTTCGGATTTGGATATATCTCCCATATATAACTTCGTCCGATTTAACTTTTATTGTGCGCCAAACGTCTAATATTTGCCCAAATGGGATGAAATTTGGCACTTACGACCGAATTAAGTCTAGTATTTAAAATTTGGTGAAGATCAGTTCAGATATAGCTATAGCTCCCATAGATACTGTTCATCCGATTTGTCATATTTGTTACCCACAGCCGTAATGTGCACTCCGTAACAACGATATTCAGGGAAATATATCAAATACAGTTCAGAAATATCTTTGTCAAATTTTATCAAGATCAGATTCAGATTTGGATATAGCTCCCATATATATTTTTATCCGATTTCAAATTAATTGTGCACCAAATGGGCAATACAAGTCCGTATTTAAAAGATACAAATGCTTCGGCATATTTAGTCCCTTGAACTTTAAATTATAATGATAATCATAGCGTGTATAATTGAATTCTCCAATAACAACTTTTAATTGTTATGCGCAGCTCTACTAAATTAGCAAAGTGGTGTAGGGTATCATAAAGTCGGCCCCGCCAGACTTTAAGACATTGTTTACCTTTTTTTTTTTTTTTGAAGATATCAATTTCTGAAGACGTTGACAGAATTTACAAACATTTTCAGCGAGAACCCACCATGCTTATTACCAACCGATTTAGTGTATGTTTCGTTCTCTAGAAGATCTTAAGTTGATTCCTCTCATTTCCAATACAAAAATAAAACCAAAACAATTGTTTAAGAATTTTTTCATTAAAATTTTTATTCTTTTTGTTTTTTATAAAAATCTCTTTTGTAAAATAAAAATTTGCTAACAACATTTCGCTAAAAAAAATAATGGGGGGAGAAACACAAAAATCATACAAAACACACAGAGAAAAAAAATTATTACGAAAAATAGCAAACGTCGCGACGAAACACAGACAAACTAATAAAACATATACATATGTAACTACTACACAAACATTAGAAATTATTAACAAATATTTTGTCTTTATACAACTTAAATTAATTTAGAACTTAACCACTAAACAGCCTAAATGAATGTGAGAGAGATAGAGAGAGAGGAAGACACGATGAGAAAGAATTAGATTGAGGTGACAATGTAATACAATATGTGTCAAATGAAGATAATAAAAAAATGATGCTAATGACGATGATCTTAGTTTAATTTAATTTTTTAAATTTAATCTGCACAATATGACTGCAGTTCTGAATAGCCACAGGGACGACGACAACACTCATGGACTGGACCGCCAAATGAGGGCCGATAAATGACATCGTCATCGGGTAACAAACGCCTCAAAAGACTGGCACGATTTTGATTGCCAAAGCTTTCGGCTGTAAAAAAAACGAGACACAAATTAGATATTGAATTTTCATTTTAATATTCCGATAAGAACTTACGATAGACATTCGACAGGGAATTGTAACGACCGTTACAAATTGTCCTGATGGCTTCAAATAACGATGTGCTGCAGTAACGCTGACGTGGCACCTGTCGCGTCTGTGTCGTCAACGGCTGTGTGTGGGCAGGTCTTGGCAGGGAAATTATCACAATGAAGCTTATTATGACTAAGAGCGCGATTGTTGTTGAACTTAACGCACGCGATGAGATTATACATTGGGAAAACGTCATCTGGAAAGGAAAAAGAGAGAAAGGGATTTTTGTTGTTAGAAAACTATTTTAAAAAATTAGTAACAAAAAGAATTATTCATGCCAAGGACATTGCCACCCTCAATCGGGAACCTTGTTTGGCTTGCTGTTTACATGTTATACATGTTATATATATGTTATGGAAAGGTTTGAAGTTATAATCCAGAATTTATATGAGTAAGTATTAAGTTGGGAGTACATATGCAGCTTGAAGTTTCCACATGGCATATTTTGTGACATATCATAAAGGAATGCCAGAGCCGCACTCGAATTCTGCAGTCGTTTTTTCTTTATAATTTGACAAAAAAAATGCCTAGCCATGATTCCAAGCTGTTTATGTACTCACACCTTTAGAGTCATAATCTACGGCTTTTACGATGAACTTTCAAATCCATTGTTGTAGATTCTAACGAGTATAAACGTGGAGCTTTGAGAGGCATAATCGTTAGTTTTTGAGTGAAGCTTCCATAACCGTAAAAGTGAATTTTCATACTTTGAGAGTTAAAGCCATGAAAAATATCGAGAGCTTGTAGAGCTGCAGACATGGATTTTTATCAATGGGTATTATGACGAACTTTCAGAACAAAAATTGTTGACTTTGGGAGAGTATACAAAGTGTGATAAAAAAAACTGCAACCAATTTCAGACTGCTGTCATTTCTAAGCCACTCGTTCGATAGCTGTTAAAATTATTCCAGTGCCAGCTCATTGTATCGTTTACAAGCTTACAAAAGCATTTCGGTGAGAATTTTCCAAAAAAAAAAATATTCATGATGGATTTCTTTATATTTAGCTGGAAAACCACAAGTGGCTATCGTTAGAGCACTTCAGCATTTAAATGTGAATAAATCTTTTGTGTCCCGTATCATCGCTCGTTACCGTGATACTGGTAGAGTAGCCCGACGTCAAGGAAGTGGACGCAAGAAAACAGCAACATCAGCAGAAATGGCTCGAAAAGTAAAGAAGCGACTTTATCGAAACCCGCGTCTCAGTGGCCGTAAATGGCTCGTGAACTGAACTTATCGCAATATTCCATTCGGCAAATTTTGAAAAATGAGCTCGGGTTAAAGCTATTGAAATTCCAAAAAGAGCAAGAACTAACACCGCAACAGAAAGGAAATAGACTCAAAAGAGCTAAAGAGTTGCTTCGCTTGGCCAAAAGTGGTGAACTGCCGAATTTGGTTTTCTCCGATGAGAAAACACTCTTTGTCCAGCAGTTTGTCAACAAACAAAATGATCGTGATTACTTGCCAAATAGGTCAGCTGAAAATGTGCGCCTTCAGTTGGCCACCAGAACTCAAGCGTCGGCCATGGTGATGGTGTGGGCCGCTATGACAGCCGATGGTAGCTCTCCGCTCGTATTAATCGACCGTGGCATCACAATAAATGCCGAATATTATCGTGAAAATATTCATTTTGGCCACAGACCTTACACATTCCAACAGGACTCAGCACCGTCGCACTCAGCACGCACCACCCAAGAATGGTTACAAAATAAGGTTGCTCGCTTCATTTCCAGCGCACAATGGCCACCAAAATCTCTGGATACTAATCCGTTGGACTATTGTGGCTGGAGTATTTTGAAAAGCAAGGTTGGCACTAAAAAATACCAAAGTGTCGCTCACCTCAAGCCGGAAATGGGCCAAAATACCGCAGAGCAACATTCGGGCAACGTTTGACGGTTTCGTGCCAAAGGTGACCAATTCAAACAAATCTAAACTTATTTTAAATTTAATGCTTTTTCCGACATTTTTTGCTTTCATTCAATAAAATGTAAAAAAAAAGGAAAAAAATGATGGCGTTTGACTTTGTTGCAGTTTTTTTTATCTCATCTTGTAAAATGTAAGATCTACACTTTTGATATCTTCTGCGGCCAATGGTAAAATTCTGTGACAAATACTTTTTTGTATAACATTTTTTGATATGCTACGATCCCATTTAAAGGGAGTTTTTAACAATATTTTGAAAGAAAGTAGAAGATACCCCATTGTTGGCTTTCTTGAGGGTTAAAACTTTCAACCAAAATAATTCTTGTATTTTTATCTGCAATATTGCCGGAGACAATATATTCCTAAAATCAACGGATTCCAAGGAATCTTAATTGGAAAATTTCGAAAAATGTGGAAGAGGGGGGACTAGCCCTCTCTATTCAAGTAACTTTGCGTCTAAACTTTCAAATCGCCGAAATACGTACCTCCTATTTTTAGTTATATTTTAATAATCTGCAAGATTTTCCCTGTTATTATAAAAACATTAATTTTTTCGTAAATTTTTATGATTAACTTTTAAAGTCATTTTTATGACGAAATTTGAGACCAATAATCATAAATTTTTCTGTTGAGCTTTAAAGCTATTGTCGTGGATTTTCATGGGGAGGGGTTAAGAGCCGGTTTTATTTTTCAACCTGAGGTTCCTTTTTAAGGACCTTTAACAGTAAAAATTGTGGAGCGTCGCACATTTTTCTTCCCCCAATTTGATACTCTCTCATTACATTGTTTTTTAATGAGTATGATTGTGAGCGTGGACAGAAATACGCTCATTGAAGGCACGCGTGCCTACTTATGCCTGGCTCTGCTTGTTTTATTTCTTTAATAAATAGACGACATAGACCTCATACAATCAAATATTATAATAATATAATTTAATATTAAAAAATAGAAATTAGAAATAGAAATAGACAAACGCACGATGATCTTCCACTATCCATTGAATTCCAACAATGAGAGTAAGAGAATGAACGTAAGAGAAAATTAGCGTTGCTTTCTCTACTATTTCATTATTCATTTATTTGTTTTATTGAAATAAGTGTCAGCCTTAATTTTTTTTCCAAAAATCTACAGTTAAGCACTAATATTTATTTAAAATATTCAATAATAATATAATTATTACATGCTAATATGAAGATCATGGGTTACCAATTCGTTTTGAATATTCATATTTAAAACTTAAAAAAAATTGATTGCATTAGATGATGGTAGCGATACAAGTCTCTAATTTCTATGTGCTGCCCATAATTAGTGCCATAATTCCTTTCCTTTTCACTCTTCTGGGCAATATGATTTAAGCTGGTCATAACCGCAAGGATGTCTACAACAGTCATAAATGGAACCGCCCTCGTTCGCTGTTAGAATAAAAAAAAAACAATAGGAAGAGAGAAAGAGAGAGAGAGAGAAAATGAGTTTTCACCAAACCAAACTAACAGCAACCTAAACATCACACTTACACTTGGACGACACTGAGCGAATATTCTCCCCGCAAATTAGTACCATTAGATCCGCAAGCGATCGACCACAGTAACGTTTGAAATCAATATCCGAACTATTGAATCGGGCTGTCAGGGGATTGGCCTGCAACGATCCTGGCATAACAACGACAACTATCGAGAAAATGATTAGGAGACCAGCCATTAGTAGGGGCAAAGTGATTGCTTGACCATATGTTAGAATGGAAACAGACTTGCTGGTGTGGAGAGATTTTTTCCTGATGAACACCATCTGAAATGATTCAGAGACAATGACAACGGTATGAGATTTTCGTGGGTGTGAGTTCGAGTACTTATGAGGTGAACCTAAAATTTTGGCAACATTTGCGGTATTTTTTTATGTTTTAGATTTTCGGAGGACATACCAGGGGTGGAAAGGACGAAGATATAACCTCTGATTTTTGTATGTAATTATCAGAGATATAATTTTGAATTTCATTGGAGGATAGAAGAGAACTTATTCTAGTCGTTTCAACTATAATTGAGAAGGTTCAATGTGCTATACTTCCCAGCTTTAAAGATAACCTTTGCGAATTTTTATTGTGTATTGTGAATGATATCTGTTTGAGCTATAATTGTGTAGCTATTGAGGTGGGGATCAGAATTTCATAGGTGATTTCAAATTGTTGTTTTATGTAGAGATTATGAGAACCTAGTTCAAATTGTAGAATATCTTGAGGATGTATCCCAACGATAATAAAAGGCAAAATAAGAGACAAAAAATATGGTAACATCTGGTATGAGAATCAAGGTTGGAAAGTAAGGTATATCAATGAAGTTAGTTTTGGAAATGTGAAAAAAACTTTGCCCTAACTTTATTAAGGTTTTTGTATTATTTTGGCCATGTAGAAAAGTATTCCTATAGTTTCAGAAATATATTTTGCAACACTTAGAAGCACTTAGGATTTAGCTTCGAAATTTTATAGAGATCTTTGGATTACATCCAGAATCATTGGATAACAAAATGGGTCATATCGGTTCACTCTTTAAGAATAACTCCGATTTCAAGTATTTTTATACTCCCCATGTAAGGATAACTCCGATTTCAAGTATTTTTATACTCTCCGCCATATTGCTAGGCACGTTTTGGCTGTGTCAAATGATATATATCCCCTATATCATTTGATACGGCCAAAACGTGCCTAGTCAAAAAAACGGTATTTAGACCCTAGGACTCTTTGGACCAAATCCATTTCAGGATATTTGGAGTCGATCAAGCGATTTGATGCAAACTCAGTACATCGTAATATTATTGTCAAACTTTGATTCAGTTCGAAGATGGGCAATATCGGTCCACTCTTTCTGGTACCTCCCCCACAAAATGTCGAAATTTTCAAAAAATAATTTTTTTTTCACAGAACCCGGACAATATCTGTCCACTCGATCAAGTACCTTCCCCACAAAGGGTCAACATTTTGAATATATCGGTTCACTCCTTCTGGTACCTCCCCCACAGAAGGTCAAAATTTTCGAAAAATATATTTTCTGCACAGAAAGACCTGATTGTGCTCCAACTTTGCAAATCCAAATATTTGCTAGGTCAGGTGCGAAAATAGACAATATCGGTCCATTCAACCAAGTACCTTCCCCAAAAAGGATTAAAATTTTGAATAATCGCAACTCTTATAAAATGTGATGTAAGAGTCCGATTATCTTAAAATTTCACACATCCCTATAATTTTATTACCCCAAGGTCGGGTGTTAAGATGGAGTATATCGGT